CACTGATCTGACCCTTCTCAAACAGACTAATATTTTTTCCACGCCCCCAGACGTGTATTTCCACATGGATTTTTAAGAAATAAGAAACAACTCATTGCACCAGTTGGGGTCAAATAACTTGTTGCCAGCTGAAAGATAATTGCCCATGCTGTAATTATCCAATAGGAGGCTTGTACCTATTTGCTTAGTTAAAGGGTTATTCCACCCAAAATTGAAATTTTGTCTGCTGACAATTTGAATTTTTAACCAGCGCAGACATTCTCCTGACCCGGCTGTACTTCTTTAGCTTTAGCTTAGCATAAACCACAGTAAGTGAATGAATCCAACTAACATTGAGAAAAAATGTCCTTAAAATCACTCAGTAGTGATCTAATTCTGAGCATGTGCATGCATGCTTGTGTCTTTTATGACGGTTAGCTAACAACACGTGCATCTATGTTTAGAGAAGCAGGTGTCTTTGGGGCTGCCTTGCACCTTTCAGTGGAGGCTTAAAGCTGTGCTGTGTCATAAAGTAGTCCCAAGCCTAAACCAGTGCCTGTGATTCCTTTATGTTACTAATTATTTTCACTTGCACTCAGTGTGATTATTTAGGTCACAAAGCAGAATTGGGATCACTACTGAGTGATTTTAAGGACTTTTTTTTGCTCACAATGCTAGTTGGATCCACTCACTTACTGTGTTTAAGCTCAGAGGTGTGGACTTAAGTCACATGACTTGGACTCAAGTCAGACTTGAGTCATTATTTTAATGACTTCTGACTTGACTTGATAAAAGACTTACGACTTGACTCGGACTTGAACGTCAATGACTTACGACCTGAATCGACTTGCATCTGTTGACTTGATGATGACTTGATCATATTTAATATTTTAGCACAAAAGTGGCACGACATGGACAAAAATCTGGGTTTGATTTTGCTAAATGCAGCAGCACTTTGTTTATAATCAACTTCAGTTGCACTTTGTGCTTATTTGAGCAAATACATGAAGCTTTAAGAAGCTTTATTTCTGGAATGTATTTATTATCATCATTAAATTGAAGTTGGAAAAATGACTTGATTATGACTTGAAAATTCAAAGTTAAGGACTTGGACTTGACTTGGACTTCCACATCATTGACTTTGGACTCGACCTGGACTTGGTTGTCTTTGACTTGGATTTGACTCGAGACTTCACTGGAAAGACTTGTGACTTTGGGTGGAATATCCCTTTAAATCCAAGTAGCAACTTTTTGTTTGAATATTACAGCTTAAGAAAGTTATGATATTTTCCCCTTTAAAATAGATTATTTAGAATGTAATGTAAGAGATGATTGTTATAAAACCACATTTACCTTCAACTTCACAAGAACTTACAGAATGTTTATATAATTATTGCCACATACATGCACAAATTCCTGTTTCATTAATGATGCAACATTTTCTATTTCTGGTGAAATTCAAGAACAACCCAGAAGCCATACGCCCTCCCATCACAAATGTGTAACACTTGCTTTGCATCAAAGGCAACCAGTCAGCAATAAAAAACAGTATTTTAAACAGCTGGGTGTGATCATTCTAGTCTCTGCTTTTTCATCTAATTGTTTATAGCATAAAAATCAGTTAAAAGCCCGTGAAACTGGTCTCTTGGAACACGTCTTATGAAACTAAATCGGCTGCAAAAGACAGAGCAGGCCCAGTGTTTCCAACCCAATTTTTGATGCTGTTTTTTTTAGGTAAGCTTTTCTCAACGCTCTGGACTTTTTCTTGGTCCCTGCTGTGTCATATAATCTACAAAAGAATAAAAAAAGAAATTGATCTGGCACTTCTGTAAAACTTTCTTGAGCTGTAATGTTTAATAGCTAGATTGAATACATTTTTTTAACTTTAATAGATTCACGAGTTAGAAAAAATAACTACACTTGCAAAAGAAAATGACGAAACCTTAAAAATATGTGACTTATACATGCAACTTTACACAAACTATATTTTAAAATTGCTCATAACTTAATAAATGGGACACATTAGGCTGATCAGACTGTTCAAGAGGAAGAGTAAACGTGAGATTTTTGCAGGGCACTGCATAAAAATGACATAAGATGCTTCCATTAGAAGCCTACATTTTCTATGATGTTGCTGCGGAAGATTAAACATTTTTATGTGCATTGACCAAAACAACGCTAAGTTATTAAATATAAGTTACACAGATAAGAATCTTGTGTCTGTTCTAGTCTTGTTAGATCTCAGTGCTGCCTTTGACACAGTTAATCACAATGTTCTTTTAGAAAGACTTGAACATGTTGTAGGGATCAAAGGAACAGCGCTAGGCTGGTTTAAATTATACCTGTCTGATAGATTTCATTTTGTAAACATACATGACAAATCTTCATACTCCAGGGTACTTGTGGAGTACCACAGGGTTCAGTGCTTGGACCAATTCTTTTTACTATATATATGCTCCCAATTGGTAAAATCATTAGACAGCATGGGATAAACTTCCACTGTTATGCTGACGATACTCAGTTATATTTATCCATTAACCCCGATGAACCTAATCGGTTAGTTAGATTACAGGCTTGTCTTGAGGACATAAAAAATTGGATGACTCAGAACTTTTTGCTTTTAAATCAAGACAAGACGGAAGTTCTCATCTTTGGACCTGAATTTCAGAAAAGGAAATTCCTCAGTCAATCACCTGACCTGAGTGGCATTAAATTAGTCTTCGAGAACAAAGTAAGGAACCTTGGTGTTATCTTTGACCAGGACATGTCATTCAAATCCCACGTTAAACAGGTGTGTAGGATTTCCTTTTTCCACCTTCGGAATATTGCTAAGATTAGAAGCATCCTTTCCAGGAGTGATGCTGAAAAACTAGTTCATGCATTTATTACATCAAGACTGGATTACTGTAATTCATTACTCTCAGGAAGTCCACAGAATGTAGTTAAAAGTCTTCAGCTTGTCCAAAATGCTGCAGCTAAAGTTCTGATGAGAATTACAAAGAGAGATCATATCTCTCCTGTCTTAGCTTCCCTACATTGGCTACCTGTTAAATTCAGAATAGATTTTAAGATCCTTCTTCTAACAATCAAGCTCCATCATACATCAGTGATCGGATTGTTCCTTGTGTTCCTAAATGAGCACTTCGCTCTCAGACTGCAGATTTACTGGTGGTTCCCAGAATATCTAAAAATAGGATGGGAGGCAGATCTCTTAGTTATCAGGCTCCTCTCCTGTGGAACCAGCCCCCAGCTTTAGTCCGTGAGGCAGACACCTTGTCTACTTTTAAGAATAGGCTTCAAACATTTTTATTTGATAGGGCCTATGGTTAAAATCTGATGTTAGCCCAGATCTGGACAAGTGGGGGAGTAGAGGGAGGTGGAGTGTACAGTCGGTAAAGACGGCTCTCCCTTGCCCTGCCTCCAACATGCCTCCATCTAAATAGGATAGATTATCCAGAGTGATCTCTGTAGTTATGCTGCTATAGGCTTAGACTGCTGGAGGACACACTGACCACTTTTCACACTTTACTACTTTCTTCTACAATCTGCTCTTTAACTGTATTATTTCCTGCAATTTCTGCTGTTAACTTTATTTTTTCTCTAAGTATTTATCTCCCCAGAAGAAGCTACAATGATTTTCTGATGAGCTGTGGTGGCCTCATGGAGGGGGCCATCGTCTAGCACACTGCTGCTAATCACTTAAACATTCTCCCTCTCCTGATAATAACACTTTGCTTTCCTTGACGTTGGATGTGCTGCTGCTAGTTTACTCGTTTAATTATAGATCCACTAGGATAAATACAATAAAGTTTATCTCTCGCCAAACAGAATATTAACTAAGAAATCACAATGTAACCATAGACACATTACTTGGTGTGTGTGTGTGTGTGTGTGTGTGTGTGTGTGTGTGTGTGTGTGTGTGTGTGTGTGTGTGTGTGTGTGTGTGTGTGTGTGTGTGTGTGTGTGTGTGTGTGTGTGTGTCTGCTCTGTCTTCTTGATCCCCAGTGAGTCGTGGTGGATGGCTGCTTATACTGAGCCAGGATTCTCTGGAGGTTTCTTCCTGTTAAAAGGGAGTTTTCCTCTCCCCTGTTGCTGCATGCTTGCTTAGTATGAGGATTGCTGTATAGTCACTGACTAGTGACTCGATGCAATTTGCTGGGTTCCTTATATAGGAAACTTTTTTTCTGATTGGCTTAATGAACTGACCTGTATTGGAATGTTTATTATGTGAAGTACCTTGAGACGACTCTTGTCGTGATTTGGCGCTATATAAATAAACTTGAATTGAATAAACACAACATCTGATCTGATATAATGATTTAAACATCACTTTCTTTTAGTTTTCCTGCATTTGTTTGATTCGTTGTGTTGAGAATCTTATTTCCTGCAGAGATGCAGAAGTTTTCTCTCTGCAACTGCTTTGAAGTTTAATGCGTTTTCATATTCATTTACTGTTTGCAGGTTCTGCAACGCACTACTACAAACCTTTTGTTGTAGATATCAGAGCTGGATAGGCTATTTGATCTGCACATGTATATATTTTCACAGCTGAATATAATCCAAGTAGGTGGTGATAAGGGTGAATTTTTCCTCGGCGCATTTTGCAATCCTGTTTGTTATTCAGCCTCTTTGACCAATTAGAACCAATCTGACTTCAGCCTCATTAGTTCAGTGCTGATGAGTTGTTTTTATTAGTACTGATGATGCAGGTGAAACTCTGCCCACGCTGCTGGATCTCTAACGGAGTTTATGTTTTGGAGCAGCGTGGATATTTTGGGGTAATTAATAGTGGTGTAATGACTGCTGCTCCTGATTAACGCAGGAAAATCTGATTAAACCAATGTGCTCCTTGGATTGTTAACATCATCAGGAGAAAACGGCGGACAACCTATGTGTGTTTGCATGCAGGCGTGAAATCGGAGCTCACGTTGGCTGGAGGAGTGAGGTTATTGGCTTAATTAGAGGTTCCGTTCCATGCCGTGCCGCTGATCCGCCCCTGGTTTTGTGCACCGCCCCGCACAGCCAGCTGCTGCAGCGCGAGGGACCGGTGCGCCGTTTCTCACCGTTTCGACTCGCCTTGTTTGCCTCCAGTCCGGCTGTAGCTCCGAGCGTCTGCGCGGCGTGTGGATGAGGTACAGAGGGAACAACCGGGAGCGCACGCACGCACACACTGGCTGAAGCAGCCAAGTTAACTCCCAGCAGACCCGCCGGGGACTCAGACAGACTCGGGAGTTTCATTTCGCAGCCAGACCGGGGCGCATCTCGTCTCCTTGAAGTGATCCTTTTCTATGCGGGCTCTCCGTCGCGCTCCCGTCGGAAGGAGTCTGGGTGCACGCACTAGAAGAGGAGGAGGAGGAGGAGGAGGAGGAGGTGGGGAGAGAAACGATCATTACTTTTGAACAGACGCTCGGACATGGAGCTGTCCGTCCGGGCGCACTCTGCGTTGGGAAACCCCATCATCTGTCCGCTGTGAGGAACGCCGAAAATGCAGCAAAACCCCAGCCATCTTTGAGTAGTTTATGAGGGATTCTTTTTCAAAAAGAGAACGGGAGAGGAAGGAAGAAGGGGGGTGCTCTCGGACTCAATCGGATCACTCTCCACGCCGAGAGTCTGGGTTTGGCACGGAGCTGTAAGTAGCCTTTAATTAAAGAGCATATTTGGGTCTTTTTAGTGCAAGTGTTGGGTTATGGCTCTGCGAATCAATGCAATTTATTTACACTCTCACGATAGAAGAAGGCAAATGTCAGAAAATGGGCTCACGGGCTCCTCCAGCAGTTTCTAGCTGAGATCAATACATAGCCCATGGTGCAGGATGAGGTGTTCTGTGGCGGCTGTATATGGCAGACACACTTTGGGAAGTTGCTTGTTTTTGTAATCACAATTAGGCGATGAAATATATATTTCAAGTTGATTTTCCTTTAAGTGGGATGCTTTTGGTTCATGCTTTTATGATTTTGTATTTAAAAAAACGGAATGAATTTATCCTAAAATTCAAAATGTGGCAAATAAATCTTATGTCACAAAATATCCTTCAGAAACATCATGGAAGCTTATTCAGAAGATAGTCACAAATTTGTCTTTGATGCAAAAACAAACAAAAATGACCTAAATGATGATTAAATTGAACTCAAACAAAACATCCCCACCCAGTTCTGGACACAGTTGGATGTCAGTCAGTGTCTACATTTACTTTTCCATTTTGTGGCTGTAAAATAAGATCATTTCACAGGACATGTATAATTCACAGACCTGAGCTAGCCATGTGTGATAATGGGACACACACACACACACACACACACACACACACACACACACACACACACACACACACACACACACACACACACACACAGTCTTTTACAGACTGAAGGAACCATATTTTACTCTCACGTGAAGCTTTTAGAGATAGGGCCGCAGAAGGAAGAAAAACCAGAAAAACACACACGAGAGCCAGTGCCAGACTGAAATATGAAGGTTAAGGAACATTTACATATAATCCATACTGTCTATACCAAATGAGGACAGTGGCGCATCATTATATAAGCTACACTGACAACTTGGGAATCCAAGGGCTTTCCTAGCATATGCTTATATAACAGCTTGATACTGAAAATTATGGATGACTTTAGGCTCCGGCGCCATTTCTTTTCCACTCTTAATAAACCAACAGATTTCTTTGTTCTGCAGCATTTCATCTGCCATGGACACAGAATGAGAAACTTTTTCACCACCATGCAAATCCGCTCATAGTTTTTTGTTTCTTTTTGATGTTTTGCCAGCCATTCTGGAAATGGCTTGGCTGGCATGATGCTCAGTAGTGTGTCTGCCTGGCGCTGACATTCCCATCAATGATTCCCAATGATGAAAAGGTCACCTCCCCCCCTGCCAATAACTGAAGGCTGAAAAGAGATTTTGGACTTGGGGGGAAAAAAGAGAAGAAGCCACATTTGAAACAAGTGCTTGGTGGGTAAATGGTTGGAATTTAAATTGGGGAGGGAGTGGTGATACTGGGGACAAATGGCCTACCCCCCTTCCACCCCATCCCTCACCCACCCCAAGACATGCTGGTTTGGTCCATTTGTCTGTGTCGTCTTGGGAGGAAGTGCCATCTCATCTCACATTGCGCAAATGGTTTCAGTGCATGCTAGTGTGAATTCTTGCAGGTTTTTGTAACTGCCAATTTCCATATCAAAGTGTCTGCATTTCAATAGGGAGAACTTGAGCTACCAGCCCCCTTCCTCCAAGCAGTTTTGTTCTGATGGAGCACTGCTGCTGCTGGTGGTGTCGGTGCTGGTGAAGGAGGCTACTGACAGGATTTCTGGACACGTCAGTTGGTTGCATGAGTGTGTATGTGTGTGTGTGTGTTAGAGAGTAGCAAGTGTTTGTGTTGGAGGCAGATTTTAGTGTGGATTGGGCCAACGTTTCGGCCAAAGAGCCGTGTATTGTGTGGAAATTCTGGAGGCCGAGCAGAGACGCATCATGTTTAAAAGATTTATTGTTTCAGCATTTCGAAAAATCACCAACCAAAGTTTCTTTTTTGTTTTTTCAAAGAAAGGCAACTCACACTCTTCCTTTCCGTAAAATAGATGGCAGAAATCATTTGCAGAATTTTTTGTTTTCACGTTTTATCTAATTCAGCTGCAGCCTTCAGCGTCTGTAATCCTCCCAAATGATGTCGTTTTTGAGTGCCTTCTTTCAGTCCGACTGGTTTAATTTGACAGTGATAGAGTGGAGATGTAAAGATACAGAACGTGCATGCTTTGTGTGAAACTCTGAGGGGTGTCTGATTATTTTTTTCTGTTTCAGAGATAATATTTATTTCCAATTCTGTGCAGCTGCTGTTTTGTTAGAGGAAGAATGCGCCGAGACACTCTTTATTTTGATGGATTCCTTTTTCGCTTCTCCTCATTGTTTTGCGATACGCATTCTAATCTTCACTTCACTTTTCAGCGGGTTAAATAGATGAAAATAAACACTTAGACACTTTGCACCGCGCACAAAACGGAACAAAACAAGCATTGTTTTTTTGCCTTGTGCACGCCCTTACTTTGAAAATAGGATCAACATAGGTTAATAGTGAAAGAGAGTGCAGTGTGTGAAATGTTATTACACAGAGACAGGGAATGTAAATGTCATTGGAGGAGCGGCAGGGGTCAGTGGCCCCTTCATGGTCATCCTGCTGGTAATAACATGAGCCAACTATTCTCCAATCGGCTGGAGTAGAGAGCTCGCTCCTTCCTCTCCGTCTCTTTGTTTGGACAGAATAGCATCACAAAACCTCAGAGAGGGGCAAGAGCAGGAGGGCAGTTTTGAGTTTGAAGCCAAGAAGAGCAGGATGGAGTGGAGAAAAGAAAAAAGAAGCCAGGCTTCACCTGCCATCTCCGCTCACGGCCAGCAGGTTTGACAGCTGTCTTGTTCAATTCCTCCAACTCGAAAAGTTGGACAAACAAATGGACCGCGAGGGGAGACAAGGCGGGATGAGTAATGGCAGATGAGTTTGGATTAGATTGATCTTCAAAGGGAAATACCTCCTTACATGCAAGGCACGTAGAGTTTTCCTACATATGGTCTAATTCTCTCTCTCTGTTAGCAATTTCTCCAGTTTCTCGGCTCGAACAAAGCCCTGAGAACAGACTGCCTGCATCGTGCGTGTGTAGGAGGATAAGACAGGAGCAACGGTGGTGAGTTTGTTGAGTTGAGGAAAAAAAATTGAAGGTGGGGAGGAAGCCATGCTGCGGTGCTGAGCCGTACCCCGGTCGTTCAAATTATTAAAAAGCTGCTGAGGAGGAGGGTTACAGGCATTTGGCTCGGTGGAGGCTGCTGTCAGAGAAGAAATTGGCATAAGTGCTCCCACTAAGATAAATTTCTTCTTGCTCGCTGCAAAATGATCCAGACACGAGAAAGTAGTGGCTGCGACTGAGGGGTATGACACAAAAAAAAAACTGGCATTCTGCTTTAATTCTCCAAAGCTCCACCCCACCCATCCTCTGTCCATTCATTTATTTATATTTTTCAAAGTTGCATCAAAACTGCTCGCCTGTTGCCCAAAAAAAGCAAACAAAAACACGACTGGGTTTGAAAACAGAAAGGGCAAAGTGTTTATCAAGGTGCTGGAGGGTGAGTTTTATTCACTACAGAAGCCCTTCCTAGCTGTTTCGTGGCTTGCCTAGAAAATAAATAGACAGACGAGACGAACAGATGAGTGTGTGTTAGCGCAGTTAACCCCATGGATGGATCCATCCCACTGTTTTGCTGAGAAAATACCTCTAAGAGAGAAAAAAAATCTGCCCCATAATGCCACCTCCTGTGTTTAAAATGACAGTTAACTTTCCCCCACTGGTTTAAAATGGATGTTTAATGATCAACAGAAGCTCCGGGCTTCAGGGTCTCACAGTCACGCCGGTTCTGTGTGTGCACTCGAGTAAGAAAAACCACCCCTCCGTGTCGTTGTGGGATGCCCGATTCAAAAACGAGCTAGTTCTGAAGTGATGGATCATCAGAGGTCTCTTTGGGTTGTGTGTTAACCCTTTGGAGTGTGCAGCCAGGGGAGCCGTCGGCGGGCGTGTGATGGATGTGTCCCTGGTGTTTGCGTTCCATATATCAGAAGATTAGTGCTGACCTGTGAGTTGTCTGGGCCGCCCTCGGAGCTCCTCGTCCGGCGCTGCCCGATATTAGCATATAAGGACGCTGCTCCGTCTCAGGGGGATACAAAGATAGGGTTCTTTATTTGGTTCTGTCACAGTATAGGTCACAGGAAGTGTGTAGATTAAAGGCTGAGGACCGTGTTGGTATTAGGTGTATCTGACAGGTCATCTGTCTTCAGTGCTTCCCTGAAATTCCTAAATAGCACCATATAATTATCCCAGAAATTGAGGTTTGGGCCATGCTTCACTGCAGCTCCTCTTTTACGGCATTCGTGAATTATAAACATATGTAAATCAGTCAACTGATGTCGTTTACAGCGGTATTTTGAAATGTCTTAAATTGTTGCAACTATACATCATGTCTTCTTGTGTTATTATTGTTATTTCCAATTGGGTTATCTGTTGGGGCTTGCCACGTGTGATGGACGGCCTTAATTCTTCCATTAAGTGCTTTCACAACCACATTTTCCTCTTTAGAAACCAGTCATTGGAAGCATTAAAAGGGTAAATTAAATACTACATCCATGCCCTTTGACTCACCTCCTTTTTTCTGCAGATTCTTTCAAATGATCATAAAATCTTCCCCCACTTAGTGCTCTCATGCAATGTTTAAATGTCACCTCCCACAGTATTGCTGGCATTTGTCCTTGTTGTGTCTTTACGTATTGGAAGAATACTTCAAATGCCAGTTTTCAGAGAGCTGCTTCATGCATCAAGGGGAGAATTATTTCCTTTACAATCGCCTGTAATCTGTGAGCTCTTTGTTGCCATGTCTAATGGCTATTTAATTCCTATTTGGTGTCACAAATGTCTTGTGCTGAAGCCAATCTATTTTCAAGGTGAGGAGATATTGTCAAAGTCCTTGAACGTACTCCGGGCTTTGATTGGCAGGCGTTTTCGGAGATGGAGGATGAGGGGTGTTGAGAGCCTCACTGCAAAGAGAATCTATTACCTGGGATGGCATAGGCATGCTTTCACAATGTGT